TCATTAAGAAAAATTCCAGATTTGTATTTATTGCTTCTAACTGCATTACGATATTAAATCGATAACATACGATTACAGTCGGATTACCTTTAAATGCTCTATAAAACAGATATTTTGGATTAGGAATAAAGAAGAATGAATATTTGTTATCGCTTAATCGATAAATTGTACACTATCAATCGATTATTTTAACATTGAATTCATTTCGATAAAAATGCTATAAAATTATAGCCTCTTTCAATATTTGGCATGAAAATTAACCGATAAAATCATCAATTATTGTTTTGAAGGCCTGTAAAACTTCCATTCGCTGAATGTCTTACCTCGATTATTAATCGATAACCAAGTTTAGAGAACCTTTACCCTTAAACTACCTTCGTCTTAGCTAATAGACCCCTCCATCGCCCATCGAAAGAGTGTGCAAAGAAAATTTGTAAATTGAGAAGCCAGAAAGAAAAAAAAAGAGGCGCTTGAGGGAAACGGAATATTTCAGTGGCTGGAAAAACTTTTTTTTTTTTTTAGCTGGCAATGGCAATGCCTGTCTTGTGACTTCGTCGTGTGCTTATTAAATATTAATTATGCGACAGAGGAGCAGCAGCAGCAGCAGAGCAATAACAATAACCAGAGAGTGTATATATTTGTGTGGACAATTTTTATGGCCAGAACCACTTGGAGATGGCGGGGCCAACAAACACACACGAGAGTGTTATTATTCCTAGATGCCACTAGGCGTGTCAGGCTCATCCAAGTGTCTCGAATGACGACGACGATGATGATGATGATGATGATTGTGGGGCTGTAGATTGGGGATGACAAATTTGGGCATTTGACACGAAACAAGATACATTTGCATCTCATCTTTGCCTAGAGAGATGTCGCTCAAAGGGAAGATCACGTGGGTGCCCGGGCTAGCGATACATTCGCGTACTTGTAGATACTCTTTATTGCTTGGAATATTTGCAATGCTAATTGTAATTGTCTGCTGGATGCTGCCTGCTGCCTGCCTGCCTGACAAGTGATCTAGCCAAAATCATCTTTATTTTTATGGGCAAAAATAAAACTCGTTTCCGCGGGCTGCCCGTGGGCATCGTGGGCGTGCATCGATTAGCTTTTGGATCGTGTGTATCTATGGCTTACAGAGCCCTCTGTTGCCCGTCCCCCTCCCCCTTAGAGCTAATCGAGCGAGCAGTCAAATCGATTTTGCCAGCGGAACCTCAAAAATAGATATATTTTTTCAAATTAAGTTTTCGTTACGACTTCCCTTTCGTTTTTGAAAGGGGTGCAGCCGAGCATTTGTCATTATAAAAATTACATTTAATTATATTTCAACAAAAACAAAAATAACAAACTTCCGTTCCAAAACAAAAAAAAAAAAGATGAAATTCGTTCCTTGGTTTTTTGTTTGTTTGAGAGCGTGCGGGAAATTCATTAGCAATATTTATGACTACTACTAGTAGTAGTTGTTGTTGTTGTTGTTGTTGTTGTTTTTCTGTCTACTGTCTACTGACTAATTTCCATGGCAATGGGAATAATCGCAGAGCCCCGCCAAAAGGCAGCGTCATTACGTGTATTGTTGTTACTCTCTCGTTAGCCTCCCCTCCCCCTCCCCCTCCACAACCCAAAGCACCGACCCGCCCCATTCCTTTGTTTTGCATCAATTATTTGTTGCTCTCTGAGGCAGCCATTGTGTGCCCTCTGTGCGGCTTATATAAACAATTGTTAGTCATAGCTCCAAGAGCGCGAGAGAGAGAGAGAGAGAGAGGGAGAGAGAGAGAGAGAGAGAGAGAGCTCAATGAGAATATGTTCTATTCTATTCGATTCAACTACATATCGCATCGTATATCGCATCATCATTATCTTTCAATCTTTCGGGCAATTACTGGCCTCCACCGGAAATCAATTTCATTTTTGTCAAACTCAATCGAAATAAATCCTCAATATGTGCCATACAAATATACCCATATACCATTTATAGATATCGCTTGGCTGGGGCGAAGGGGGGTTGGGGGAGGGCTCTGCTCATTAATCGAAAAAAAGTATCTGCAATTTTTGGTCATAAATCGTTCCATATGCGAATCGATAAAACGCAAAATATACAAATGCAAAAAGGTTTAGATACAGACAGTGGTGGGCATACAAATAGGCACAGCCCCTAGAAAGGCATTAAACAAATTTTAGATTAATTTTTAAATAAGCTTAAAATTATTTAAGGCCTTTTAAATATTAACTTTTGCCTAGATTTCATATCTATTTGAGGTCGGAAAAGGTTTAAAAAAGATATCTGTTAATATTATCCTAATATTCCCGCCTCTAGTGTAAACATTTTATTCGCTAAAAATCTATAACTTTTGTGTGGTTTTATGGGACATTTTCTTGCATTCATAAATCATAGGAGGATTAAATGGAGGCCCCCGCATCATCATAGCCGTAGAATATCATTATTTGTCCACTCGATGACATCTTGCCTGCAAAACCATTGCCATCGCACAGATACATCTTTGCCACAGCCAACGATTACAATTCATAGGAGCTCCAAAGTGCTGCTGGTGGGGTGGTACTCCTCTGGCCTTGCCCCATTCATAGCCTTGTTTGTCTGCTCTCACCTTAGATACAGATACAGATACATATTGTATTTGTATCTTTTCAAGATCTGAGCTTTAGTTATGTGCATATTTGTGACCTGCTGAAGCGTAGAGCATTTTTGTAATATAATTTTCGGTTTTTTGTTGTCAGCTCAATTTTCAAGTTGTTTCAGATACAATCCTCCTCCTCCCCCTCCTCCTCCACCTCCTCCCATGTGTATCTTTGCGTTGTTTGTTTGCCTTGCGGTTGCCTCTTATTCCCATTTCTGTGTTTTCTTCTTTTGTGTATTCAAATTTGTTGTTGTTGTTGTTGCTGTTGTTGGAAGAGGAGTTTTGCCAGCAGCTGGCTTTGTTGTAGCCACACTGTTGCCTGCCTGCCCCTTGGTGATGTCTCACTATGATAAGGCAAAAATGTACACGTACATACACTGCAAGAAAGAACAAGGGCAGTCTGTGTTTTGTCTGTCTGCCGGCCGTGCACTGACCTACTCAATTTATGCTGCTTCTCTCTCTCTCTCTCTCTATCTCTCTCTGTGTGCCCCCTAGGCATACAGTGCGTTGCAACAGATGTTTTTGTGTGATTATCTCAAAAGGAAGTTCCGTTTAAATTACTGCCGGAGATGGTCTAGAAAGATGGCTTTAAAGCGAAAGTTTTGAATTCATAGAAATAATTGAAGGAATTCCATAATTATTTGACTTCTGGTTTGATATTTCCAAACCATAAACTGGGTGTTTCTGAACCTCCTTAAGAGCTTTCCCCTCGAATAAAAAGGGGTTATTTCCACTGTTATTCCTAGGTTTCCTTCTAGTACCCCACATGCCGACCTTTTCTCTCATATTTGTCATCCCTTTGCCCCCTTTCACCATCCATCCATCCTCGCACACATTTGTCGTCATATTTACTTTTGATTTATGCAGCGTTTGCTCCAGTCCTCATCTGTGGCTCTCTCTCTCTCTCTCTCTCTCTTTGTGTGTGCTGTGTGTTTTATTGTGTAAACATTTGCATTATGTTAAATAAACCCCAAAAGTACGAGTATTTTGACAATATCGAGATATTATTTGCATTGCCAGCCCAAAAAAAAAAAAAAAACAATAACCTCAACATTCAACAACATTCAAATGCAGGGCAAATATTTGTGTGCTACTTATACGAGGTAGTACTTATACGAGAAGTAGCTCTTTTCTCTGCTGTGCTCTCTCCACTTTTAGCCCATTTTGATGGCTAATTCTATGAGTACTTACTTCTGTACTTCTTTGTCTGTCTTTTGTATTACAACTACTTTTTACAGACAATCTAGTTTGATTTCATTTTGGACCTCTTCTCCCACTTTCTGTAGATCTTCTACTTCGATTTCTATTACCTAAGAAACTTCTATTTTTTGTGAAGACTTGATCTTTGTTTTAATAGATCTGAAGAGCATTAGAGATGTACATTACTTCCACTTATTCTCGTTTCCCTTTCCTTTACATCATCGCAAGCTCTTCTACGTGTCTTCTACTACATATCTTCTTCCTAAATCTCTTCTATTTCTGCCTCCACCAGATTTTAAATCTCTGCCTCTTCTTCTATTTTATCCTTAAATTCTTATACGACATCTTATACGATTATTTATACGAAGTCTATTACTTTTACTCATTTATGTATAACTCTTCTTATACATCATCTTATACATCTTCAACTACTGTTTCTAATACCGCCTCATACAAATTTTGTAGACCTCGTCTTATACTTCCTTTAGTCCCACTTATACTACTTCTTATTCGTTATCGTTTTATTCGTTTTATCGTTATTCTCATAGTGCCTCTTTTACTTCGTCTTATACTTTGCCGTATACTTCTTCTGATACTACTTTTTCTTGTGCATACTCTTATACCTCTTCTTATATTACTTTTTGGTATACCTACTGGTATACATACTTTCAAACTTCATATTATACTTCATCTTAAAATTTATCTTTTACTTCGTCTTTATCTTATACTCAGTGCTTTGTTTCGTCTTACACTACATCTTATTTTTCATCTTATCATTGCTCTTATATTTTGTCTTAACTTTGTCTTATACTCAATCTCATTCTTTATTGTATACGAAATCATATATTTCCGCTTATACTCCATCTTATACTTAATGGTATATTACTTGTTATACTTCATCGTGTACTCCATGTTATACTTCATATTATCCTCACTCTTATATTTCATCTTATACTCACTCTTTTATCTCTTCTTATTTTTACTCATATACATCTTCTTATCTTTATCTTTACTCTTGTACTACACCTTATACTTACTCTTATATTTACTCTTATACTTATTTTTCTACCCCCAACTCTAATATTTATACCGCTGATTCTTCTTATACCTCATTTCTAACCATATTTTTCCCTTATTTGCTCTGCTCGATTTTGCAGTACGAACTGATTCGCCAACATAGCCAGCTACCAGGACCTGTTGGGCAGCCATCATCAACTGCTCATAGCCGCCACAGCCGCAGCCACCGTCGCCGCTGCCGCAGTCGAGCCGCAACTGCCGCAATTGACGACGACGCCATCCACAGCCACCATCATACCCATAATAACCAATAACCAGACCCAGAATCAGAGCCACAACAACACCAACACAAACACAACAACAACAAACAACAACAACCAGCAGGCGGTGTTCGAAAAAGCCATCACCATTTCGTCGATTGCGATTAAACGCAGGCCGACGCTGCCGCAGACGCCAGCAAGTGCCCCACAGGTGTTGTCGCCGTCGCCGAAACGCCAGTGTGCCGCCGCCGTCTCAGTGCTGCCCGTGACAGTTCCTGTGCCCGTGCCCGTGTCCGTGCAACCCCTGCAGCCCGTGCAAGTCCCAGTGCCAGCCAGCGCCCTCAAAGGACACCATCTGGGAAATCATCTGGGAAATCACATTGGAAGCCATCTTGGGAGCCAGCTGCAGCAGCACCCCCACCATCCGCACCACCAGCTGAGCTTCGCCCATCCCACACAGTTTGCGGCCGCCGTTGCCGCCCACCACCAGCAGCAGGCCCAGCAGCAGGCGCAACAGCAGCAGGTGCAACAGCAACAGGTTGCGTACGCAGTAGCGGCAGCACAGCAGCCACAGCTGCAACACCAGCAGCAACAGCAGCAGCAGGCGCAGCAGCAGGCACAGCAAGTGCAACAGCAGCAGCAGCGTCTGGCACAGTTCAATCAAGCGGCAGCCGCTGCCTTGCTCAACCAGCACTTGCAACACTCGGCGGCAGTGCACCAACAGCAGGTGGTGCAACAGCAACAGCAACAGGCAGCAGCAGCACAGCAGATCCAACAGCAACAGCAGCAGCAGCAACAACAGTCGCTGGCCCACTACTACAGGCACCAGCCGTACGTGCAACAGCAACAGCACATTCTGCTGAGTGGCAACAGCAGCAGCAGCAGCAAACAGATCGCCAGCAACAGCAGCAGCCAACAGCAGCAACAACAACAACAACAACAGCCCGCACCAGCACCAGCAGCCGTTGCCGTTGCAGTTGCAGCAGCGACACCAGCAACAGCCACCGTTGCCGCTGTACCCACGAGCGGCGGCAGCAGCAGTTTGCCGGACAGCCCCGCCCACGAATCGCACTCGCACGAATCGAACTCTGCCACGGCCTCAGCGCCAACGACACCCTCGCCGGCCGGCAGTGCCACAACAGCAGCCACCACAACAGTTGCAACAGCGTCAGGAGGCGTCAGCGACAGCAACAACAACGCCGCCATAATGGAAAATCAAATGGCACTCGCCCCGTTGGGACTCTCGCAGAGCATGGACTCCGTTAATACGGCCAGCAACGAGGAAGAGGTGAGTGACAGACGACAGTGCCATTTTTCCCTTTTAGCCACTAAAGAAAAACAGAAGAGAAAAGAGTTTCCCTGCTACAAAAGTGACAGCTTGGGGAATACTTTCCACAGCAGAAAACTCCAGTCAAATGTAGAATTTGGGGCCAAAAAATTTACATTTTCATGAGGAAAAATGCAAATTATCTCGGGGACTGGGCCTATTTTTTTTCTTACTCAAAAAAGTTTCACAAAAGTCACAAAAGATTCCATTCATTCCTATGGATATGTGTGTATGCATTTGTATAGGCACATTTGTATAGATACATATTGTATAGCTACATTTATTTGGGTAGAGCCTTTCGTTTAGGGGACCATTTTTTTTAAAGTGATTTTTTTCAAAGAACAAAAATTATTCCTTGAGAAAAAAATATTTGATATCATAATTTGAGAGGAAAAAAATTATTTTCATAAGTAAAAAATATATTTATAGACGGATTAAGGAAAAAAAATTTTTTTTACTTATGAAAATAATTTTTTCTTTAATCAATAATACAACAAAATATGATACAAATAATTATATGATTAAGGAAAAAAATAATTTTTGTCCTTAATCAATCTATGAAATAAAGTACCATATAAAATATATTTTATATATATCTTGCCTATTTTTGAATATGAATCATTTATCGCTTTAAAAAATCCCTTATCCGTCTAAAATCAATTTTCTTTAAAGATATTTTTCACTTACCTCAAAAGAAGAGAGATCTTTCCATAGATTTTGGTTCATTTCAGATCCTAAATCTTTTTAAAACTATTTTTGGTAGAATTTCCCATCAAATATGACCTGCAGGGAGAAATTAAATTTTATTAATTACAAAATAAGTGCATTTTGCTCTCTTTAAATAGAAATATAAATCATCCCTTCATTTCCTTAATTCATATATAATTTCTACGTTCAGCGTATGAAGAAAAATTCTCGTGAATTAAATCCAAAAATAAAGAAAATCCTTGGAAATAAATCCAAAAATAAAGAAATTTCGCTTGAAATAAATCCCTCAAAGGGTGAAAGGCTTTCGCCCCCCTCGATTCGGTTTCATTTGTTCGGTAAAGACTTTCGCTTGATTTTCTGAAAATATAATGATCGATATGTCGAGTGGTTGTACGCCTGCATTTCATTCACTCTCGCCCGCCCACACTCGAATCCGCACGAAGCACTCATGTCATTCCTCCCTGGCTCTCTTTCTGTGCCCCAAAGTGCGCGCTACATCAACTGGCAGCTCGGGCATAAGATTTTTATTCCATCGCCTTTTGTTTTTTCCTGTTTTTTCTTTTTTTTTCGGGGGCAGGATTCCTGCTGCTTTATGAAGCCAAAGGCTAGGCTAAGGGCAGGGGTTCTGCACTCGTGTAAGTGGCATGTGCAACCGGAGGATGCTGATGGCTGTTGCTGCCGCTGCCTCTGCCGCCTCTGCTGCTGTTGTTGTTGCTTACATTTTGATTATGCGCCTTGTCTTATGCTACACATATTTCACGCTGCTTCTGCCTCACGCCTTGCCCCTGCCTTCTGTCCTTTCATATTTCTTTCGGCATCACGGCGGCGGCCTCGTGTGGAGCTCTTTGCCACGCGTAATCCACGCGGCACGTGCCCTGCATGCCCCCCTCCCCCCCCCCCCCCGCAAACTACATTGCGTTTCGCTGCGTTGCCTTCATGTCAAGTGGGATACGTGGCCTTACATGCCCCTCTTCCCTCATGCCCTGCCCCCTAAAAATCCAAGCGATGCGTTAAATTTGATTTCATCCTTGATAAAAAGGTTGCCTCCTTCTTCTACTTTTTTCCTCGATTATGAATTTTTTCTTTACTTTGAGCGCGTGATTTTGGAAAATTTAAAAAGCGAGAAAAAAGCAAAGAGAGAAGAGTCTAAGCGAAAGACTTGGAGTCGCTGCAACATTTCCATCTTCTGCCGAATGCAATCCTTAAAGAGGTGTCCTCCTCCTCCATCCTTCTTCTTCTGTGGAAAATGCATTCCATTCTCGTAACTCCTTTTGCGCATTAAAAATGCATCAATCACATGAGGGGGGAAACCCTTTACCATCAAAAAGAAAGTAAAGTGCAAAAGAGATAAACTTTCTCCTTAGTAAAAATGTGAAATACTTCTGACTGGCACAGGTCCTAAATTAATCAAAAAAAATATATACGAAGGCAATTTTCGAGTGGAAAAAACCTGAGATAAAAGATGAGATTGCGAAGGTAAAGGATACGGGGAAAATGGTATGGGTATCAAGGTGAGAAGAGTGCATAAAAATGGTGGAGAAAACTACGGGAATGTGGTATGAAAATTTTAAAAAAAGTATCTACAAAATACTTGGAGAAATGGAACTTGCAAGTAGAGTTCGGAAATGTATAGATTGTTATCGACTATTATCAAAAATTATCGATTTCATTGACCAATATTTTTTAGACTAAAATTATTGCTAAATGTCTTCGATAACCGACGATAATTATCGATATCATTAACCAAAATATTTCGATATACATTATTATCGAATGTTTCCGATAACTACCGATTAGTATCGATAACTAACGAGTATTATCAATAACTAGCGATTATTATGTATCCCATTCAAAAATGTAGATTAATTATTACCCCATTTGATGACTAATATACAAAATAACCGATAAAAAGTAGTATTTAATTCTACCATTAACTACCAACCAATATCGACTGTTATCGATACCGATTACTAAAATTAAAACTAATTATTATTTAATTTTGGCAATGTCTAACTTATATCACGATTTATTATAATGAAATTTTGGCAATATCCATCTATATTGATAATAAATTGAGCTAAATTTTGACCAAATTGTATCGCTCACTATCGATAGAAAGCTTTATGATTATATATCAGTTAAGCGGCTATTATCGATATCGATAAATTATATAGAAACAAGTTTTTATTGAATTTAAGCCATGCCTATGAAAAGTTTCGATATAGAAAACCAATACTGAACAGTTAATATGAAAAGCTATCGATTACTATCGATAGAAATCTTTTTGATTGGCTGGCAAGCTGTTGAAAGACAGAGGATGATAGAAACTGAGGAGAGCTCAAGGGCACCGCGATGTTTTGTGTGAAATCTACAGGAAAAAGATACTCCAACTCGAAAAAAAAGATATGCAGGGATGCATTATAGAGAGTGCTACAAAGAGAGAGGGTGGGGGGCGGTGTGTATATGAATTTGAGTCGTTGAACTGCAGCCAGCAGCCTGCAGCCTGATTCTTCTTCCATCTCTGACTCTCCCTCTAGCCCTGATTCTCTCTGTCTCTGCCTCATCACTCTCTATCTCTCTCTCTCCCTTTCTCTCTCTCTGTCTCATTTTTTCTTTGCTCTATTCATTCACACTGAGACTGCAGTGAGACTTCATTTGTATTTATGAGTATTCATTCCTGCACCCATACTGCCACCTGTCTTGGCCTCTTGTGCCACACTCCACATGTGGCATGTATATGTGTTTGTGTGTTTGTGTGTGGCTGTTGCATGAATTATTGATAAGTCAATTAAAAAAGTATGACAGCGACTGATGGTTGGTAAATATTTTACACAGGCCGAAAACTCAAGAAGGGATACACTCCTGAGAGGGTGGGGAGAGAGAGTACTGGACTGACAGCTTGATTCCAGGTGGTATATGGGCATATCCCTTGGATGTTTGCTTGTCATCTGCAGCAGCCAGCCGCAGCAGTGCAACATATTGCTTTTCTTTCATTTTAAACGGTTTTGATGTGGCAAGAAAGGCAATTCCCCCTGCCTTGCTTAGAGGCGGCTTTAAGTGACCAGAAAATAGGGGGGCACACACACAGCAGGGGCCATCGAGCAGTCAAGTGTGTGCATCGTGCCATGTCAAATCCACAGTGTGTTGGTGTGTTTGTGCAACATGCAATCGAGTAGCACTGTGCCCCCTCCCCGCAGTGCCCCCCGCTCCATCCTCTCGACAAACTTTGTGGCATCACGTCCTGCCAGTGCCACAGTGGCCCCTGCCTTTGTTTAAATGCAAAATGTGAAAATATATAGAAATAAACTTAATAAAACTTGTCACACAGCGACAGACGGACAGAGAGAGAGAGATGTGTCCTGTTGCCTCTCGAGGCACAACCTTCTGTGACATCACATCCTCCTGGCAGCAGCAGCAGCAGCAGAAAGAGAGCAGTTGCGCACAATTAAACTTTTAACTTTTTGGAATTTGCTTACCCCTCAGAGAAGACCTCAAAGGATGCAAGGACCTACACGTCTAGATATTCCACATTTTTGTCAGGCTGCCGGCTGCTGCACTCAACGGAAATTGCCATGTGCCAAAATGGCAGGCCACCCCCCACCCTCCACCCTCCCGCCTGCCACTCATTTTCCTACCCCATTTTCCTTCCTCTTCCCCCCTCCCTCTGTGCTGTCTGTGGGACAGCTTTTCTAGTTGTAGTTTTTCTTGGCTCATTTTTTTCAATTTGCTTATTTATTTGCTTGCGAAATGCAAATAAAATAAGGCCCCGGATCCCCCCCAAAAAAGTTGGGAAAAACTTTTGTTAGTGCTTTTGGCCGCAAACTGTTGCTCTCCCTCACACAGGCGCTGTCTCGCCCTCTCCCTCTCTCTCTTCGTATCTATAAATAAAAAACCAAAGCTTTTTGGACCAATGAATTTTTGTTGCTAAACAATTCGCACGCCTCGCCAAAGAGCGATCTCTGTTTTCCCATTTCCCATTTCAACTCTTTCCTCTCTCTCCCTCTCTCCCTCTCTCGCTCTGCGGGAAAGCCAAATGTCAACCGTATTGTATGGGTATTTTATTTACTTTTGCTTTACATTTGCATTTTCCCCCCCTCCACCTGTCGTTGGGGAGGGGGTTTTTCCCATTTTTTGACAAGGCTTTTAAGCCCCTGACATCAATGCAGTTCCACACAAATTGCTTTACGTGGTCCGACAAAAAAAGAGGAGGAAAATGTCCGGTGCAAAAATTCCATTTCCAATTTCGGCTACCT